TAGAATTACAGTTGTCTTTTGTTGTAATTCAGACAGTAATGATAAGAGCACTGCAAATGTTATTGGAAGATTAGCAAAGCTTCGTTGTGTTAAAATTTTGATGTTTTTATTCATTGCTACTAAAAACATAACAAAAAGAGATGGATTACACCCTACTTTTCCAATAATTTCTTGAAGATTTTAATAGGGATATGAAGAGAAAATTGTCATGTTCTGCTATGAGTTCATAATATACCCTGTCATTGGACAGCCAACGTGAGCAATGCGAAAATATAATTATTTTATTTTTTCAACCGATTTGCACGGGAATTTTGCAAAGTCGTGCAACTGGCATAATAAAAACTTCTAAATCTAACTGCAGATGCCACCAAGTAAGCAAAATTATCGAATGCATCAATGATTAAATTTCTATTGACATGTCTTTGAAATCTGCACTGCGGCTAATTAAAAAATCATCGGATTAAGTTAGATCCAAGACAATAAAAAACTATCGGCTGCATACTGTCCTATTCAGACAGAAAACACAAATTTTCGAGGATTAAAATTTTGTTGTTATAATGTTAGTTAGTGAATTTTTCAGATACCACATCCACAGTCGAACTTGCAGCTGAAGAACTGACAGAAATCGACTGTAAGAGGATAATTTTGTGGTGTTCGTTTCGGTAGAAATATTTAATTTTGTGATAAAAAAAATAGTCAACTGCAGAAATAAAACGAAGAAGACCACAGCATAAAAAATTCATTAGTATATCCCAAAGATGCTCACGCTTGTTTAGAGAAAATTTAGAGTAATCTGAAGGTACTGCACATGTATCCAATACACGTTCAACAGATACATGTCGATCATTGGATGCATTGGAGGAAATAATGTAACTGAAACAGCTTTATTAGCATTAAACAATAAATGTCATATAAATGAAGGAAAACTGATGGTTATTTTTATTATCTTTATATTTTTATGTGTATGCCGTTCTCTCAACTTTCCACCATTACCTGAAAACCATTGGTGGAGATTAACTATTTTTATAAGTGCAAACGTATGAGTATTATCCTAATGAATATATAATAGTTATAGTAAAATACATAGAGTTCAGTAAAATTTGAGTAATATTATATATACAGTACAGTGCATTTGAATTTAATTACTAAATCCTAGAAAGAAACATTACCTAAAAATGTACATAATGTTATATCTTAGTCAGTGATTCTTTTCATTTTAAAATGTTTCTATGGTGCTCTCATATTAGCTGTACAGTACATGGCAGAGAGTATGAATATTGTAAAATTATAAATTATAGTGTTCAAATAAAAACAAATATAATTAATGCCAGTTTAGATTCTTTACTTGTGGAGTATAAAAGCAGGTATGAATTTAAATAACATATACAATATCCTAGTTAATATACAAAAATCTGAAAAAATCAATATTAGGTTTTCTTCTATGCATGGATTATTTTTTACATTTGTTATACGTTTGTAATATCGTATTATTATTGTATTTTTGTTTGTATTCCTAGAGCACTATACCTAGATGCAGATATATTCCTCTTTGATGATCCATTAAGTGCTGTTGATGTTCCAGTGGCAAAACATATATTCGAAAAGTAAACGTCTAAGTATTACTTAGAAAGTAAATATACCGTATTTCAACTTTTCATTTATTTCAGATGTATAATAGAATATTTGAAAGACAAGATTTGCATTCTTGTTACGCATCAAATACACTTTTTAAACTCTGCAAGTAAAATTTTACTGTTAAATAAGGTGAATATATTGATTGTTTATTTAGTTTGGTTGTAAATTATGTGTGTATCGGCATTTACGTCAATATGTCGGAACAAAATATAGGCGAGCTACCAACAAAAACGATTTTTGAAATACAGTACACTTTTTTACAAAATGATCTTTATTTTAGTGTGGGATACATTATAATATGTATCTCACACTGAAATAAAGATCACTTTGATGTGTAAAATACTAGTTGTTGAGTCAATGGTTTAAATGTAAATATATGAATAATTAATTACCAGTGTTCATTAATTTTTATCATACTTCGATATTTGTGTATTAAAGAACAATTATTTTTATTCTGTATAGTAGTAAAAATAAAACAGGGATTGCATCCATCACAAATTAAAACATACATATGTAAATATAATGGTAATTACATATTTGTTACTAATAAATTTAATAAAAATAAGTAAGTACTTAATAATTTAACAAGAGATTTTTTAGGTTTATAAGTTTAACATAAAATTTTTATATAAAATATATAAAAACAATTATTTTATAGTATTATTATTATATTATTTCAGGGAAAATGTGAGTTTGCTGGCAATTACAAACAGATGGAAAACTCTAAAATGCTTAGAGGAATTTTGTCAAAGAAAGAAATAGCTGAAAATAGCAAGGATTTAGAAAATGTACTTTTTAATGGTGATGAAATAATTGAAACTACTGAATCTGATTTGATTGATGACATTGGAGATAATAACAGCAGCAATAAAGTAAGTTTGGTTTATTTGTTATTGGCAACGTTACACGTGAGCAATCAACCGAGGAGGAATGAATTCCAGTAAGAGTTTCGATAGAACAAGAGCATTTATGTAGTTGTTACAAATGTGAAAGAAAACCGGAAAAATTCATGTGTTCTGTTTATTGATGAAGTTGCAAACCCAAGATCATCTACCAATATCAGTTTTTTCTGAACTGTTTTCTGTATTTCAAATATTTTGTACAATTACCTGCAGAAATTAATGCGTAACGATTCGAAAACCCTTTATAAGTACACATACTGTCATCTAGCATGATGACGTCACTTTCTTAATTCCTCCAAGATTTTGCTAATTAACTAATTATAATTTAATGTAAGTTCTTCAATATAATAGTAAACTCTAATAATAGACTTTTCTTTTAGACAGAAAGTACTAATTCATGTGTCGCCATCTAGTGAAGAGAGAGACAAATAGACAGACAGAAATCCATTGCAATTTTATTTAATAAAATATCTGTAGGTTTGATTAGTGGTAAACATTCCGGGGATCATAAAGATGCTACAGTTAAAATTTAGTAATTATTGGTTCAGTAGTTTTCATGGTTAGTGGTTACAAACGAGAAATACGTTGTCTCTTTATATAGTAGTATAGATATAGATATAGCAGTTATCTGAATGAATAATTTTATATCAGAATAACCGAGATGTGTCAGTTACATTCCTTATATCTAAAAAAACTCAATTTTTCAATAACTTATGGAAAAATTCGAAAAATCTCAATGATTTTCTATCTATGAATTCCAGACAATGTGATACACGCATTTCCATTACATGTATCACCAAAGTTGACCGCGTGCAGTAAATTGTAACAAAAAGTGAAGGCACTGTACTTTCAATTGATTCATGCAATCATCGAAATTTTGTAAAATAACAATGTTGACAAATTATATCTTCACAAAAATAACAGACAATATATTTTATTTTCATATTTAATGCCTAGATTAATCTAAATTTATTTCAAATAGGCCATTGCAACTTTTTACTACGCGACTTTTTCTGGTTTAGTATAGTCTCGTGTCTTTCTTGCGGTCACATCATGATTAAAATTTTGAATGGCTTCCAATTTATCTATCTTAACTCCAGCGAGTAGGGTTTCAAGTAATATGAAAAATATTTCATTTTCAAAACAGAAAGATGTTTCTACTTCTTATTTATTTTCCTGGTAGTTATTAAAATTTTAACACAATTCAAAAAAGAATTTCTATAATTTTTGACATTATTTCCTGCAGAAATTTCAAGAGAACAAATTACCACGAGATGACGAAGGAGACGGAAAAGTAGAAATTTCAGTTTATAAAGCTTATTTGAATGCTGGTCCAGGTTTTTTCTTCAAGATTGTTATATTCATTATTCTAGTTGCATCTCAAGTTATTACAAGTGCCAGTGACTATTGGTTCTTCAAATGGTAGGTTATTCATAAAATCGTTATAACTTTTTTGCATGTGAATTTGTTATTTAAATAAAATGTTTAAAAACGTGCTACTATATATAAGTTATATTTATTTTAAAATGTCAGCAAGTTATTATGATGTTTCTATGCAAAAATATAAGGCTACCTCAATTTTCTGAAGTAATAATTTATTGCAGTTAAACAAATAGCGACAAAAATGAATAAAAGTGTAAAAGAATTATTTATTCTATTTACAATCAAAAATAAAAATCAAATGTATTACAATGATATGCCATCAGTTTATAGTGATATAGGTATAGGAGAAGGTGGTATTATGAAACTCCATTTTCATTACAGTGAATTGTAAACAAAATATCATAACTATGCCCACATATTTTGTGCGAAAAGTACTGGTAACTATTAAACTCAATGTTATTAATTGGATTTTTCGCTAGCATAACTATAAGTATGGTTTTTGAAAGCTTCTATAAAAAATGTCAAAAAGTAGTTTTTTTTAACTAAAATAGCTTCAGAATTTAACTAGATCTACTTATTTATAATTTTAGGTAACTATTTCTAATTTTGTTTTCATTCATCCATCACATACTTTTACAAAAATAATTCCATAATTTGAATTTCTGGGTAATACGGAACCTTACAGGAGTCGGGTTTCATATTAAAAGAACCAATGGGGTTTATATTTCACACTTCGCCATCTTGGGTTAACTTAAATTTTTTTGACACCAAAGTTTAAAAACGCAAACATCATGTGTACAGTGTACTCCTAGGCCTCTAAAACGGGGTACATGCACCAGGAACCTACAACTACATGATTTATATTTTAGAAGTGATTAAATTCATTTCCTATTCCAGAGTTTGGAAATGCAAAACACGCAAACGTCCTGTTTCACTGAGCGCAACCACATAACTGAAGTGGGAGGCGTCCTCCTCTTGCTATGGATGTCTGCCTAGTGCAGTTCAGCTACAATTTGCTAGAGTTCACATCTATTATCAGTCTGAAATGGAGGGGTTCCATAAAACCACCTTTCCTTTTTTAACTGGCAGAGAATATTTTTATAAATTACTCAAAAATGCTACTAGCCTTATTTTTGAGTAATTCATACAATCATTTACTATCACATATAACATTTCACTATAAACGGATAACAGCACTTTGTAACTTCGAACAGTGGCATATTTTATTGTATAGCGTTATTAATTGTTGTGATAATATATTAACAATGGGTACTTTCCTCTGTATGAGTGTGATTGAAACACGACACTCCCTGACAATGGAAGTTCTGATATTGCTATAGAAAAATAGCTGAAGAAAATTTTTTTCTCTAGTGTAATATTAATCTTGGTGTGCAATATGAAGAGAAACAAACAAGGCAGCTTTGAAATTAAAATTTCACAATGAAGCAGCAATCAATTAACCGACAAATATAAGCGACAAAACATTGTTATGTAAAGTAGCGCAAACGCCTGCTGTTATTGTACCCATCAAATCCACATTGCCTAAGATGGTAAAATTAACAACATATCTACTATTTAAATAAAAGAAAAGCAGGATCATATCTAAAATAACAACTAGTAAAATAACTGACATGGACCAAAGATAAATTGTCATAAAGACAGAAATGAAGTTAAGATTATTTAGACTAAGGAGAAAATTTTTATTTTTGATGGTTCCAAGAGTTGGACATTTTACTGCCTGGATTCCTGGTAAAAACAAATTTTTGCTTGCCCTAACCTCAACAAAAAATAGAATCAGTCAAGATATTGGTATGAATGAATGATCTTAAGAAATCAATTCATTGTTCATAAATGATTGAATGAATACATTCGAATATGAATATATCTTGAAGATATTTTCTGACATTTGGAGAAAAAGGTTTCTTGTCTATATTTCCAATTTTAACAGGATAGTGCACAATTCTATAATGAAAACTCTGCTTTTAAATAAGTACTGTATAAAGACTCTTGAATTATGAATTGACTTACCTATTCCCGTTATTTGAACTCGATAGAAAATTTATGCAATCTGATAATTAGGTATGTGTACACAGCAGGAAACAATGCCGAAATATTAAAGATGTCAAAGCTGCGATTGCCACTACATGGTTAAAAAATCTTGCTTACCCTATAAAAACGAATATTACAAAGTTATTTTGATAAATGATGGATTCACTGGCAATTAAATGTCATTGGTCGTATATTTTTGCAATACAATTATTTTTCAGTTTTTGAGTAAAAAATTTATATTTTCTATTTTTTTTAGTATAAATAAAACAAGCAATTAATTTAGACCAGCGTTTCTCAAAGTGGGCAATAACGCTACCTTGTTGGCAATGAATAAATCTAGG